TTATTCCAGCTTTACCATTTCCAAAATATAGGCTTCATTGTAAGGAATGAGTCCAGAAAAGTGTCTTTGTTGGGGCCTTGCTTAAGTAAGGACTGCAGATGGCTTTTAGGTAACTATAAAATGAGAAAGGTAAATGAGAATGGCCAACTTGCAAAACAAAAAGCAGACACAGAAAACATCTAAAAGAGGTAGTGATGGAGCTTTGTTCTGCTATGGATTTGTTACTATGTGTCTGACTCAGTATTTCACAAAATGCCAGTATGGTTGAGGTTAGAAGGGGCCTCTGGAGGTCAGCTTGTGCAACCCCCCCTGCTCAAGCAGGGCCACCTAGAGCCAGGACCATCCCAAGGATGGAGGTGACGCAACTTCTCTGGGCAACCTGTGCCAGTGCTCGGTCACCCTCACAGTGAAAGCATTCCAAGCACAGAAATAAGAAACTTGACCTGTTATAAACATGTTATAATGATCTCCCAACACAAAAATAAGGCTGAAAGAGTTGAAATGATCATTGGCTGCATGGGAAGGAGCACAACCGCTAGAAATGGGAAAGCAGTATTGCCCTGAGATTTTGCCTTCCTCTCCTTCTTTTCACTGTGAAAGAAAATGGATTAGGAAAAGTTTTCCAAAGATTTTGAGTGATGGGAGCAGACTTTGTAGAAGCCTGCAGATGCTCAGCGAGTTTTCGGAAGCTTTTCAGGGTGAAAGGTTGCGGGACGCCTACTGAAGTTGGTTCCCTGCAGGTATCCCGCTGGCACCTGCCTGAATAGCATGGTGCTACCTTGCTAGGCAGGATGGAGAAGAGAGGCTGTCTTGGCTGCTGAAAGGGCCTACGCTCTCTGGCAGGTCTGGGAGTGAGAAGGGGGCTGCGCAACTGCCTGAGGATGCGTGGCAAAGAGCACTAACTTACTCTGAGATCCAGTTTCTCTTAAACATTCGTACCACCTGATCAAAAGCTTTACAGGGAAGGAGGAAACACGCTGTGTGTTTTGTTCTGAAACACGTTGCCAAAAAGATGACTAACTGAGCTACCTGACAACTTTTAGGAAATACTAAATGAGTTCACATGCGGTTGTGTTTTTGTGAAGTTGCATTTTTAGGGCACAGATGTTTTGCTTCCACCCATACTGTCAAGCAATAAAAATTTGGATGATCAAAAGGTTATTTTAAATAAAAGCAAACAAACAAAAAACCACCCCAAACTTTACATTTTTTTTTAGCCTGTGTGATTTCCACCTCCCCGTGTGTTGGTTTCTGAGCCTTTAACGTATAATTGGGTCATACTTTCCAATTTTCTCAGTACGGTTCCCAAATTGCAAAAATCCTATTGTCTTAAAAGGGAATTGGTATGTCCTCCGTAAGCTTTTTTTGAGTAGTGGGGTTTGAGGTTCTCAAGTGATCCACTCATTCCAGACAGGGTAAATGAAATACTGAACATCATACAGGTGGGCAGCATTCTTTGTAAGCATACATTTGCATGTCTGTTTTCTTGCACACGGTTGTTAGCACGTAGATGGGTGTACTGTGTGGCCAGGGTCAACCCACCAATATAGCATAGGTATCGTAGGTTGTTTTGTTTGCGTTTTTTTGCAAAAGATCCCTAAATAGTTAGAGTACTTGAGTTAGTGATAAGGTTTTCAGAAGTACTCAGTGTCTCTTCAAAAAGGCTATGCAAATCCCAATTTTTACCACTTAAAATTAATCTAAGGTGTGGTTAGGATTTGAAGATGTAAATTAGTAACCAGTGTGGTAATAGTGAATAAGTTCCTGATTTTACATGGGGTTTATAATAATAATTGTAAACCATGCTTTGAGTAAGATCTTAATTTATGCCAGTGCTGAAAATAAGCTTGATAAATTCACTCCCTTACATGCATAAGCACAATTTGGTATATTGTGCAGACTCTACCACTGACAGTATCAGGGCTAAAAAAGCTTAGAAGAGAAGTAAATTTGATTGTTATTAATTTAGGACTCACATGAGATGAATTCACTGTATCTGTTGTATTGCTGTAATTATATACTGTATTAGTATATTGACAGTACACTGCATCTTACTCAAAATTACATATTATTTTCTTCCATTTTCAAGCAGTTGATTCACCTGCAAATTCACAAACTAATGCAACAGATTTCCCCAGAATAACCACGTCGTCTCTGCTTCCTTTTAGCAAATGCATTGCACGGTTACAGGGAACTTTAAAGCTGTGAATGTGGAACTTGCACTGACTTCCATCAGGGGACCAGACCCAAATCTTTGCAGAGTCAACCTCTTCTCTACCCTAATGATTAGAGCATTTGGTTCCACTTACTGGTTTTAAACATTACTCACCATCTATATTCTACTAATAATAAGTTTTTGCAATAGATGTTAAAAAAGAAAATGCAGTAAACAGTATTGAAGAAAAAAACACAAACACACGTGTAAATATCACTGGACTCTGATATCTTCTTTAAAATAGTTAGTTTACGTTTCTTTCAACTAAATGTCCTTTTCTGATTTTTAATGTTTGAGGGAGGCCTGCAGGTTGGCGTGCCTGAAGATATTTGTTGCTGTGGGATCCTATTTCTCACTCAACAGTCTTCCCTCAGGCTTTGCATCCCTGTTAACTGAGCTGGTCGTGCTGTTTGCAACCTTAGTGGTAACGGTGACCCAGAGTTGCAGCTACTGGGAGGGAAGGGCCTTCTCATGGTGCTGGTAGTACCGCGCTGCTTTGTAGTCCTCTGCACATTTGCAGAGTCTCCCTGCCCAAGCAAACTTCTTTTCACAACTGGAGATTAATCATCTGCTGGGTTTGTAGATTAATTTTATTAACAGGCACATACCGGATCATTAGTTCAGGCTCGTGGCTTGATCTCGCGCTTCTCCTACGCTCTTTTGACAAGTGGAAACATTTTATAAATAGTAAATGAAGTGAGAATGGGATTAAAAAATGAAAATAATGCTATGAAGTATGAAACCCATGTTGTTTTTAAATAAGTTAGTAGTTGGAAGAGACATTTTCCCAAATTGCCTTTCCAAGCTTTTTTTCTCTCTAATTTTTGATTACTTTTTTTTTTCCCCTGTGCTTTTTAAAATCCCAGTTATTTATTATGCTTGGTATATAGTTTTAGGTGCTCAGCAGATAGTTTACAACTAGAAATTTTACACTGATAGTACAATTGCAGAAATTTTGTTTGTGCTTTAGGATGTAAAACCAGAAAAATATCATTCCTGAGCTGGTCCTGTCAAAGCAGAATATTTGGGGGAATGAATCTTTGTTTCTGGCTGTGGAGGCACAGTGCTCATTAATGGGAGCAAAGGCAGAACAACCCACCTAGCAATCCATTAACGGGGCTTTATAGCTTTTTGTTTATGACAAACATCACTAATGACCCATTAGGTTAGAAAACTATGCAGAGAGCCATGCTGCTCTGGGCTTTCCCAAAAGAAGGCTAGAAGGGCATCCGGAGAGTCTGCTGACTTTCATGTGTTGGGCCCTACATCTGTTAGTGCTAGCACCTACGGATGATGGGCAAAGGTTTCTTGAATTCTCAAAATCTGTGGAAACAGGGCTCATATGTTTTGTTGCTTTGTCACAAAAATGCAAATTGTGAGCAGAAGTGGGAGTCCCTCAAATTCATACAGAAAGAGAGGCAGGAGAGCTGCTGTCTCTTAATATTGTATTTCTAACAGCTCATTATGAATGTTTCCTGCACATCTGACAATGAATTGTAATGGACTGTAATTATGGAATGAGTATGTGCTGTATTTTGATTTGAAATCCATTGCTAATTAATTAAGTGCAAATCTGAATGCTGTGACAACAAAATGGTGGCTGATTTACACATCTGGTTTAATTTTCCGTTCTGAAATAAGATGAAACTGAGGTTTTTCTTTTGAAGTTTGTAGAGGACTTTTATTTACAAAGTGACCGACTTCTGTAAATTCTTTTGATTTCTTCACAATTGGTCCATTAATGTCAGTGGAAGCTTCGTGTCTTGTTTATGTAGGTCTCTAGACTTGAGTACCTCCTGCCAGTACTCCTTAAGCACAGAGTATAACCTTTGCATTCCCCGATAGAAACGTCACAGACACAGCGTATTACTGCTCTTAAAAACCAGCTTGTGCGTTAGCAGCGCCTCAGCTGGGTGAGAGCAGCGTATGAATCCCAGCTCCGTTCTCGAGGCTGTTGGTCGCCCTATCGACATCAGTGGGGCTTAAAACATTACGGGTTCGGGTCTGGGAGTGGTGCAGGCTGGAGTGTTATTTATTGACAGCTGTGAGGCGTTGGCGGTGACGTGAGATGCTTCTTAAAATTTGCTTTTTGCACAAGGTGAGGTGACATGAGATGCTGCTTTTCACGCAAGGTGAGAATGTGGAACAGCATCTTCCCAGCTTACGAACCAGAAAATGATGAGCTTTTAACCAGTGGGATTTGGCTTTTAAAAATAAATAAATAAATGTCTGGATGGGTTTAAGTCGGTGAACTAATTGATACTCTATGATTGTTCTGAGTATTTTCCCCACTTAATGGTGATAGATAATATTTTGTTTAAGCAAAACACTCCCATTACTGGTTTTGTTTATTAGGAGTGAGGAAACTCTTGATTTTGTTTTTAAGATTTCTATCAGGTTTTCCTTACTTTAAAGGTGGATAGGCTTCACTAAGCGGCGATGTTGCCGGAGGTCACAGCTACGGAAGGAAGCAAATTAACATACAGTATGTTAATTTGTTTTCCCTGTCCTTCAGTCACAGTGAGGAGAGTCTAAGTATTTCAGTGACTGAGACTTTGGATTCCCGCTCCTTGCTACACAACAACAACAAAAGCTATTTATAGCAATAACAGTTAGCAGTGATACAGCAGCCTCAGACAGCTATAGGCAGCGTCTCACCATGACCACAAATGTTAACTGCTTTTGCACTGAATGCCTCTGTGAAAACAAAGAGCACTGAGAAATAAAGATCAAAGCAAAACCAAAAGAAAGATTTTTTTATTGCTATGTTTTACTTTGCTGGCAGACCAGAGCAAAGGTTTTCTGAACATTTAAAAGATGAAAAAGGTGAAGAATCCCAGAAGCGATTTATCTTGAAGCGAGATAACTCTAGTATTGATAAAGAAGACAATCAGGTTGGTTCTCGGTTCGAGAGTTGCTGAAATTTGTTCTGTTTTTGAAGGTGGGCTGACTGATGTTATTGTTGTTCTTTTGTTGTTGCTCTCCTCCTCCTCCTCCCCTGCCCCCTCCCCGCCTCCTCTGGCGTACGTACCACCGTGGGTAGCATCGAGCCCCGGCGTGGCCGCTTCAGCCGTGGCAGTGTGTGGGTTTGCATGGGTGGTTTGCTTGGCGCAGGACTTGTTGCATGCCCACGGGAGGGGGGATGCCGACGGCTCCGGGCTGCGTGGAAGGCTGTGTCAAGTCGCATTTCTCAATGTCTCGCCTAACTATGGCAGTTGTTCCGCTCCCTACAGCTTTCTCCTTCTGTTGTACCCATTCAGAGTTGGATTTCAGTATGGACCGATGATAAACTGATGTAGCCCAAAAAGGAGAGAGGGAAAAAAAAAAAAAAGCCCCAAACAAACATGTGATGGGGAGGCCAGGGGGATTTTTTTTTTTTTTTTTTTAAACCATCCTAAACTAAGTTTTGACAAAAATAAATCAGCTTCATCTTTTAGTTCCCTCCCTCCTCCTGTGCCCTCACCACCTTTTACTGTCTGTGTAACTTACTTGCTTGTCGTGCATGTACTGTGGCAGACGTTCCCCCTCTGTGTTGCCTGTGCCATAATGCTCCCTTACCTTAGGTGAGCCCGATGAGTAGGGGAGCGCCAGGGAAATGTGTGTGTTTGTGCTGCCTTTAAAAGCGGGTCTTGTGCTGCTTCAATTCAGTGCAAGCTGTGTATGTGGAATATATTAACAAAAAAAATGAAAAAGGGTTCTGACGTGAATTGCTTTTATGAGAAAATTCTCACAGGTAAGAAGACAGCGTATGCTTTCTTTGCTTAGGTAATATTTGTGGAGGGCTACCTGCTAGTGAGTCTCTCATTGCCACTCTCCTTCATGTTTTCAGTAAAGGACTTATTTTTTCCCCTTCTTTTTTTCTTTTTTTTTTCCCCCTTTTCCTTGACTTTCACTTGTACGTAGCAGCCTTGCCAGTTATGCTGCGTCCGAGTTGGCTTTGAAAACAAAGCCCAAGCATTTTCAGGGTGCGGTGAACGTGAGGATCAGCCAGAGGAAAGCAGCATGGCCTATCTCACCAGGTGCTGGGGTGCAGGGGGAGAAGGAGCAGTACTTGAAACCCAATTGCCAATGAAGCATTTCTTGCTGGGGGTCCTCTTCTCCTCTCCCTCCCACGGCACAGCCATTTCCTGCACTGCGGTTTACCGAGAGGCACAAATGGCCCTTCTTTTCCCAGCGAAACTGAAGTCGAGAGTTCCTTGTGGTGTGGAAATGGTTAAAACTGTCGTGCCCAATATTTGGGACTACTTCTCCTTGTACACATAGGCTTTGGTGGGGTTCTTCTAGGGTTTGCAGTTTAGCTCTTGCAGCCTAGTTTCCCTCTTTTCTTCCTCGATTCCGTAGGTAGCGCAGCGCTGCCTGCCCTCCTGCTCCTCGCAGCCGGCAGGAGAGTCGAGAAATCTTAGCAGTCGAGAGCAGCGGCACTTAGGCTTGGGGTGAGAACACCCGATTTTAGGGCGGCGGGTTCACAAAAGCCGTGCAGAAAGCCTCGTTTCGGCCACTCGCTCTATGAACCCGTGTGCAGTATCTAACTGGAAACCCTCGGGTGCCCAGCCTCGCCGGGCGCTTCGTGCAGGAATGACAGCTATCGTTTTCATGCTTCATTTGTTTAAGTGAACATTTATTATTCTCAGCTGACAGTTACTTAACGGCAGTTTTTAACAGCTCAACTTATATAACCCTCCTGGTTTTCTTTCTGCTCAGCAAAACAGAATTCTTCCATTTAGAGATGACAGACGAAGTAAATCAATTGAAGAGAGAGAAGAGGAGTATCAGAGAGTGAGGGAGAGAATATTTGCACAAGATGTGAGTAGTTGTTTTAATTGCCTCTTTAGTGCCATACCTTCGCCGGTAGTCAGACAGTCTTGCTCCCCTCCGACACGAACACCGCAGCTGGACTTTGCCCTGTGGAGCTGGAGGCGACAGGGAAGGGCGATTGGCGCAGAGGGTCCGAGAGGAGCTCGAGAGGTGCGGAGGTTGGCTTCTGGAGAAGGAGGTGACGAGAGTTGCAGGGAGAAGGGTAGAGGAGAGATCGGGCCCAGCATGTTGTCTGGGGAGTGCTTATCCCGTTTCTTTGAATGCTCGTGTGGTCTAGGTTTCCCTCTTTTTTCCTTCTCTTTTGCCAACCAAAGAGCAGTGATTTAAATGGACACTCTCAATAGTTTCAAATAGCTGTGTTATTTCATATTTGTTTCGAGCTGCATCAAATTTTGTAAGTGTCCTTCTGCAGAGCCTCCTCATGGTTTTATTTCTTCCTGTAGCACTAAGAACAAAGAAAAGCCAGAGGTTAAACATGGCGTTGCACGGATTTCTGAAATGACCGATTAAGGAACTGTATTTCTGCCATCAGAAAGAATTGGTCTCATTGATGATGATTTTATTCTGAAAGGAATAAAATGAAATAGGCCTTATAATTCCTGCCTTACCAAAAAATCAGAACTTGCACAACAAGCTACATTGCTAGAGGAAAACATTTAAATACAAAACATCTGTGAGCCATACCTCATGTTCCTGAAAAAGGAGGAAAATAATAATTTGCTATAATACTGTAATGACAGGTCCTAAAAGGAAAAAAAGAAAAAAGTCAACATTTTATTGTTTTGTCTCACATCTCAGTGGGAGCTCTGCCACTTAGAGCAATATGGGAATAAACCCAATTAAAACTATTATTGAAAATCATATTTGGCAGTGTCCTTTTAAATTAAAACTGTTCATATATTGCAGGATTAACAGTATTATTTTAGATATCCTTTTATTTTGCTCTGGTTTTGGAGTTGCACACATCCAAGTAATTTTTCTTTAGCAGAATACATTGTATAGTTTTAAGGTGTGTGTTGTCTCGTTTGTGATAAGTAATTTTGCTTGTTTGTAAGTAGCTTGCCACATCTAAATGTTTTTAGCCTGGCTTTTCCTTTCTTGACTGAGACAATTCCAGTAAAAGCAGATGCCCTTCAGTTTACGTTTTGCTTTCAGCGTGTGGGTCTGATGTAAATACTGTCACAGTATATGCGGTAGAGTTACAGCGTTGTTCAAGGGCTGCAAAAGCCTCTTTGCAACCTGTCTCCTATACGAAAGTTGCTGTTTCTGGCTTATTACAAAGGAGCTTGTACAGAACAAGCAGACTGCAAATGAGACAAAATGTTGTTTACAAATACTGTATGGAAAGTTGTTGCCAAAATAATGCAGTTTCTATCACAAGCAGCAGCTAGAAATGCTAGGCTGGGAAACGGAGGTGACTGGAAAAGTGTGCTGAAACTCGCTCCGCAATGCGCTGCTGTTTTTATCTCTAGGTACTTGTGTTTTAAAGACAGGCAAGCGGTGAGCATTTTAATTGCTCGCAGCATGAGGTTGTTGTGGTCCATTGGGTTAGCATCTCCGAGCGGCAAGGCCTCAGTAACAGTGTGGTTTGTGGCAGGCATTTTAAATGGATTGGGAGTGAGTATTTTTAAAGATCAGCAATGTTAGATATCTCTCCCTCTCTCTCTCATATCCACTCATTTGCTCTCTCTCTCTGCTATTGCAGGTGTTAGTGAGCATTGTAGTGCAGTGAATTTCAGCAAGCTGTGCTAATAATATTAAGAGGAATATATGTCTTAGCTGAGCTTTTTTGAGTGGAGCGCTCCTCACAGATATCAGGTGTTTTTAGGATGATGTCAATGGTTGTGGACAATGTAATTTTTTTCAATTTCAGGGAAGAGAGCAGTGGCTTCTTATTGTAGGTAGCCACTCACTGGATGTAAGACTTTATAGTTTTAAAGCCCTCTGCAATCATTAATTAATCCAATTCTCCCCAGGTTTCTCTGAGGTATGTACCTAAGCCTTGTCATCCTGCAAATTATAGATGTAGAAAGAGAGACAGGGAGGGATTAATCATGTGGTATTTTTATTATCTTTATACTGTTTACATTGCTGTAGTCAAGCCTTTATTGGCGCCTTGCTTATGAACCTTAGCAAATGGATTATAGATACTTCACTTCTAATTAGAGTATGCACGAAGAGAGCTTGCATGAGAGGTCTCCAAAGGGCAGCCATGAAGGTCAAGAGTACTGCCACAACTGTTGCACCTAGCACCCCTCTCTAAACATGTTTGAGGTACCCAAAACTCTTTGGATAACATATCAGCCCAAGAGTCAAAACTCTGAACAAAATTTAGGAGGAAAAGGCAGTCTGGTTACAGGGGCAAAAAATTCTGTGCATGTTTCAAATGCTGTGAAAAATGTCTTAACATGGACCCCACATACCAGCCAACAGAAAGTTTGCTTCCCCTTCCTTTGATTTTGCAGCACTCTAGTGTGCCAGATATCTTCATCTCCAAGTGGGAAGGTTTTAACAAAATAAATATGTTCATGACTAATGTCATCATTATGATAGTCCTTATGATGATTAGTCTGATATTAGTCAGTTCTTCTGGCAAGTTTTCCATCTGCTGTGTTGGCTATCATAAATTTTGACAAGGGGAGCTGGAGGTTTTAATGACTCCTGTCATGTGTAGAGTCATAGCAAGTGGCAGGGATTGAGAAGCATGTTAATGGGATATCTTAATAAAAAGATTGGTGGAGAAATAAATAGTTAATAAATGTGATCATTCCAGCTCGCTGAAATAAGAACTACAAAGTGCACCTCAACCTTTTCAGGCTGCTAACAGTAAAACAGTGCTGCATGAGCTCTGTTATGCTCAAAGCTATTTTCAAGGTTATTTTTTAATTGCAAAAGCTACAACCTTCCTTTTTAAAACATGTTTTTATTGGAAATTTAGTTTTACAACAGTCTTTGAATTTTACAACCAAGTGCACTGGAGCAGAGGACCTGGAGTACCTGGAGTATTTAGTTGCTTTTAGCAGGTTGAAAAGTAATTGTCCAAGAAAGACCAAGAACAATCTAAAAGAGTAAAAAAAAAAGTGTATGTTGTTCTTTCCCTGTGCGTTAATTCAAATTGTAGATTTAACTGAGAATCGTAAATGGTACACTACGTTTGGCTTCTAAGCATGCAGAAAATTGATTCTAAAGGCTAGCAATCAAATTACATAAGGGAAATTTCATTCTTTGAGGTTAATGCAATGTATAACCTCATGAGCCAGAATCATGTAAGGACCATCCATTGTTCATAAATATATCCTCTAGTAATCATAGTGTATTCACTGAAAAATGTAGATGTTTTATTACTTAAACAAATGCTAGAATTGCCCATGGTACACATGGAACTTATTAAAGGAAATACGCATGCTTTTTATTTTTTGTTGTTAATTGTAATCACTATTTTTTAACTAAGGAGTGTATTCTGACGAGCCAGACCTTTAGATAAAATAAGTTATGATTCCTCTACTTAAGAAAACACTGAAGATTTTTGTCACTCTCTTAAAGAGAGTCACGAAAGAAATATTTGAAAAGGCGGCTTCAGCCTTTCCTATCCGTCTAGGCAGAAAAGATTAGGAAGAAGAAGGTTTAAAATTAGTAAAAACAAAACAAAGACACGCCTCGTGTTGGCTACCATAAACCTGTAGGTACTAAAACTCCCATACTGCTGTACAGAGCCTTTGTTTGTGGCTGCAGATCAAGCAATAAGCATTAGTGGGAAGCCTGAGATCTATCACGTCTTGTTAACTGACGTGAAAATGATTACCTGATGGTATCCACTGCAGGATATTGCTGCATGTTAATAGTTATCTATGTTGGCTAATGTAATTAAAAACAAGAGCAGCAACCCCCAGTATACCTAGTGCACTGACAGAGCTGATGCACATTTTCCAGTTGAGACTTTAAAAGGTTCTGGGAAATTGGAAGAGTGAAATACTTGTTTCATAAATGACGATTAGTCATACAGAACACCCTAATGGAAGTCTTGCATGCGGAGGTCTCCAAGGAGGCGAATTTGTAGGTAATCTTGCATAACTTTTTTCCTTCTGTAGATTTGTTATTTGATATTTGATTAAGTATACAAGAGCCAAGTGTTTTAAGAATGTTTTTGACAACAGCCGTGCTGTGTACTTAAGCTTTCCTGGTGCTTTAAATTGAGTATTATAGATGCTATAGATCAGGAAAGTGAGTTCTGACCTTGTAGTAACTAAATTGCTATCCAGAGCTGCTTAGCCATCTGATTTTTAACAGTAAGAATAACATAATAAAAAAGTGCCTGTCTTCTCTGCCTCTCAGCCTCACACCTGTACTGAAAAATAGTTTCCAGGGATTGTGTGGTCCTCTGCCAGCATTGTCAGCCAGGAAGACAAATGGAGTTATTACAGACTCTGTCTTTAAGTCTATAATGCAGTTGATAGTGGGTCCCATAAAGAAACTGAAAAGGGAGCAGACTTCTCCACTTGCCTGATAAAATATAAATCCCAGATATTTTTCTACTTTATGCCCCAGTCTCTTTAAAAACTTGAAAAAATAAAATTCAGTTTAAAAAAAAGTATTCCAGACAGGTACATGCCCCTTTGCTTTTGTAACTTTGTGGGGACACAGACCAGTACTCTGGTCTAAGCAAAGGTTTTTACTCGCTTGTTCCAGAAAAGTAGCTATAACGCTGCTTTGGAAATGTGACTGCAGAGAAGTCAATGCACAAATGCCTATCATGAACCTCAAAGTGAAGACACAGCCCCACGGTTGAGGTTGTACAAGCCCACGGGGTGATTTCACTGTGCTCGTAGGTAGTTAGACTATGCTGAAGTTTGCACAGCCACATTTGTTAATGAAACCTTGTGAGTAAGGTACGTAAAATGAGAGAAGAGGCAGCGTTGTAGTTGTCGAAAGGATCCCAGTTTTAGGTGGAACAGTTTGTATCCCCTCTCGGCCTGGGGTGAAACCCTAGGTCTGCTGTAGCTGGTGAGAATTTGGTCCCTGGCAATGGAGAACTTGCTCCCGATATCCTGAGGCTTTGTGCTAAGGAGAGACACGCTTGCCACCGCAGCCCAGAGCCTTGCGTGTTTAGTTGGAGCGCAGGAAGGGAGCTTGCCGGGGAAGCCCATGGCGCTGTCAGATGTTCCCTGATGTGGATGCTGGGTGGGCAAATTACAGCTTTAATGAGAAACCACATTCCCTTCTTACGGCTAAATTCATTCCTTGTGTAAATTGATGGGATGGCACCGGCTGCGGTACCAAGAGAAAACTTTGTCCATGCATCCGCTGGAGCACTGGGAATGAGCTGGGTGTTGCTTCTGCTGTTGGCCAGCGCTTTTTGAGTAGGTCATTAGCTCACCCTTTTCAAAACAGAAACATCCCAAATCCATGCATATCCCATACCATTAAAATTTGACACAGCTAATGATGGCATTGCATTATTCTTTGAGCTGAGTCCCGTTGTTACAGAAGTAATGGGCATGATCTCTGGTGCCCTCCTCCCTTTGCCTGCCTTTTGTTTAAATTCAGTGCAAGTACTGACTGTCCTTTCTTCTGTACCTCATGGAGATATAATCCAATGACAGCTACTAGGCACTTCGTGTAGTGAACATGAAATAGGAGGGAAATGAAAAAATCAAAGAGGGAGAATTATTCATGGGAAATTGAGCACAGCTTCGTTTCTCTGCATAAAAAATTAAGTAATGCTAAAAGAATTATACACTTGCCCATAGGATTTATTTCTTCCGAGCCCTTCACCTTTCTCAGGATCTAAGTCTTCCAGCAAAGAACCTTTTTGCAATAGACTATTATTGTTGTTAATATTATTATTAAGATGATTATAATCATTTTATATCTCAGTGTGGGTATTACTGTTTCCTCTCTAACTGTAAAATGTGAAATCACATAGTATTTCTAAGTACTGCAGTATCTTCTCTCCCTTTGAAGAACGTTGTCAATTCTGCATGCTTTCCTCCTGTTTGTCCTTCCTACCTGCAGCTCTCTGCTATTCTGCAATCTTATTTTGAGGTGGTAGGGCAGACCAGTGGAATCTTATATTATGTAGGAAAAACGTTTTTCCCCTTCGAATTGCCAGTATTTTGCACGTACCACTGCCTTCTGATCTCAGGACTGAGAAGTTTCAGTTTGTTTCCAAACTGAGACCCCTCGCTGGCAACGTGTTGTAATGCATGGAATTTATTTTACTGGCCTGACCTTATTCTTGACCTTTTTTCCCTCTTGTCTTCTGCAAATGCGAATAATGCATGAATTGAAATCTCCTTAAGCCTGAACAGGGGAGATAATTCTAAAATCAAGGAAGGAACTGGAATAGCAGAGCATATCTAGAACGTCTGATACAATGCCTTTTTTATTTTTCAGTCAGTTTGCTCCCAGGAAAACCTTTTTGTGGAAAACAGGTAAAAAATAGCTTTTTTTTTTTTTTTTTTTTGTGTTAAACTTAGCTGTTTCTCTCTCTTATTATTTTGTCTATCTATAGTTCTATAGTTGTTTATCCTAATGCAAAGGCTATTGAGCAAATTTGTAAACCATATTATCTGCAGTGTTGTTCTGCTTTAAGAGGGGGGAAGAGAGATTGTCTTGCAGTATTGTATCTGAGCAGATAAGGTGTTACTACTGCTTTCCCAAGACTTTGCGTTTCAGTTTAAAAAGCAGTCTGGGGTGCGGGGGGGAACCCACCTAATGTTTCATTTCAACTGCTCAACCTGTCTCTGGAGTGCCTTTAGAATTTAACTTACTGATCTTTAAAAAGCACTCCAGCAGTGGCTGGATGACAGTATTTATGAAACACCACACTTGTGTTTCTGTTGTTTAACCTGCTCTCCTGTGGGACTGAGCGGCAGCACTGACTTCACTTGTTGCTTGTGAAGGCTCACGAGTCCCCCAGACCAGACCTGCTTTACCACTGCATTGTAGTAATGAAATGGTGATATCTGAGCTAACTGTTACTTTGCATTACTGGGTGATAGTTCTTATGGATGTTCGTTTTATCATAATAAATCCATTTAAAGCAAAGGGAAGAAGAAACTGTGCTTAACTAAGATCTACAAAATACGAAGCATTTGCTCTGTAGCACCCATAAATTAGCTTAGCTGTGTTGAAGATCTTCGAAATTGTGCACCTTTGTGGCAGATAAGGATTTTAACCAAAACGCTGAGAATTTCACTGGTGAGTGTTTGAGCAGTGCTAGCCCAAGTCTGTCCTGTGCAGGTTTTAAAACTGTTTATTATCCCCTTGAAGAAGGGGAGGTTATCTTTCACAGTATTATTTCTATCTCTGTCCATCTTTACATCTGTCAGATGTGTTTATGGGTGAGGTTGTTCCCATAGAAAATGACTCCACAGTAATGGTACAAACCAGCTTTTCTGATAGACACTCTTGAAAGCAGAATGAGGGAAGTCCCTCGGGAGGTAATGGCCACTGTCACCTAACCACCTCGTATTCTGAGAGCCAAGGATATTTCCTCAGCTGCTTCTTCTGTATCATGACTGTGGAGATATGTTTTATCAAAATAAATAAAAAATGCAACGGAGGAACCCAAAAAGCAAAAAGAAGATGCTCCCATAAACCTACTTTTTCCTCTCTGGAGAGAACGGGACAGTAAACGTGACGTAGTTGTTCATGTTCCCAAGTCAGTACAGAAAGTGCTCAGACACTGCGCTGCTGAGGATAGGGTGGAGACCTTTATGGGATAAACCATGAACTTCATAGCCAGGCCTCCATTGGTTTATGTATTCAATCTCACACCTGCATGCAGAAGAACGTGGCCAGTTATGGTGTTAGCACTTGCTTCAGTTTGCTCAAACCCGTGAGCTGGCTGACCAGCATTCCCGGTGTGAGGGTGCATACCCAAGTGGAGACCAGTAAAAGGCCAGGTTGGAAACTGGGCATTTGTTACTGCCTGCATGGTTGTTGTCAGGAGGGAGACTTCATCTGTGTTCCTCAGAACACTGCTTTTTCTTGCTGCATGCCTTACAGCCTTTGATCAGGTGAAGCACTTAAACTCGTACTTAGTTCCGTGCACGTGAGCAACCTTGTTGATTTGCTGTGTTGAAAGTTAGGTATGTGTTTAAGTGCTTTACCTTTCTTTTTCATCAGAGAACCCAAGCATTTCTGTGAGCTGCAGAGATTTCCAAGTGACTTAGCAAATGCTTAAAATTATATATGCAGTATTTTGCTGGCTTGCATTTTTTTATGTTCTTATTAGGTGATATTTTCATGAATTTTCTTTTGGAAGTAGATGTATGGTTCCTTGGCTTCTGAGAATTACCTTGCTCGATAACAGGAAATGTTAAATGGCCTTCAGCCTCCCTGGCTGACATTTCTTATGTTCAGTTGACTGTGCACAGTTATGGGGGTGGAGGGGGGAGTGGCGGTGGGATGCGGGGG